GCCGAGCGGCCGCCGCGCGACCATCAAGCGGCCGAACTGAAAGAAGGAGCAGCTGCGCTTCCTGGACCGGATCGTCGTGGGACCGGGACCGAAGCCAGGTAAGGTACAGCAGCCCCTCTGCCCACCCCTGTACTTAGTGTCCGTTGAAGGAGGAGGGGGGGGGGGGCGGCACCGCGCCGCCCCTCGAAAAAGTGCCGCCCTGACACCGGCTCGCCGTATACCGGCGTATAAGACGACCCCCGACTTTTCAGAAGTTTTTCTTGTGTTGAAAAGTCGTCTTATACGCCGGAAAATACGGTGTATATATGTATATATATGTATATATATATATATATGTATATATATATATATATATGTATATATATATATATATATATATATATATATATATATATATATATATATATATATATATATATATAAAAATGTGTATGTATGTGTATATATTAGTTACATCTTCTCTGTAAATATTTTTATTGCACCTGTTTGACCCTTTTAGTAATAAATCTTTCTTTCTGAAAGTGTTGAACTGGTTCTATAGCTCTTAATTGCAATTTACGAATCCCTGCCTGTAAAGAGACGCTACTGTTTGTGTTAACCCTCTGTATAACAGGCCTGTATTATGACTGGGTTATGCGGTTGATTATATCAACCATTATAGTGTTTATAGCTGAAGGTCGAGTTTCCTCTTTCTCTGATCAAAAAGAAGGTGGTGGCAGTGTGAAGGGGTTAATTGCAGAATTAACCTGACCCAGTAACAATCGATTCAGGCTGCTGGCACATCGATCGGTATCCATTAGCTGGAAAATCGTTGTGCAGGGTGCAGCTGGGTGTGGCATTGTTACGCACGTCACATCACGGTTGTAGATCGGTTAGCTCTTCGTTCACGAGTTTGGTGAAAAGGTCTGGGGTCTGATGCCGCAATCGTGACAATTACAGTTACAATACAATTTGGTACAAGAGGAAACCTAGGGCCCTGCTCGTTTAGAGCTTACAATCTAGGACATGACCTCAAACTAACTGGAGGAAAGTTCAAAACTAATCTTAGAAAGTATTTTTACTGAAGGGTAGTTGGTGCTTGGATTAAACTTCTGTGAGATCCGGGGATGCAGTTGTGGCTGCCATCATCTTTTCCTTAATACGGTAATAGTGAGGTTTCAATGATATCTCTAGGCAGACCATCATGTCTAGAGTCCACAAGCAAACGATGGATGTGATCTTTTTCCAGATGTGCAGAGATGTCAGGAAGAAGTTCCCTCATCAGCTGGTGAGCTGCTTCCTCCTGGTCTTTGATGGTTTCGGGAAGCCCCTGAATTTGCACATTGTATTTTCCAGATCCTCTATCTTTGCATTGGCATCGTCCAGTTGCTGGAGGTTAGAGATCATTTTGGGGTTTTGATTAACTCTGTGGGGCCGTTACATCCATGTGGGATTCTGTTGTGTCCAGCCGTTCATTTATGGACTGTAAGTCCCCCTTTAAATCACTGATCATGGTGCAGGCTTTAGTGAGTTCCTGCTGCAATAAAGTGGAAAATCTTGTTATTAGGACTTCATCTCCTGAATAGACTACAGGGTGCATAATTATTTGCTCTGGAGAGGAGTCTGGCTGGCTAAGAGCTGATTATGCCAATTCTTCCATGTGCCAATTGTGACGAACGCAGTGCCCGACCCCTGCCCTTCTCAGCAACTCGTAACAAAAGACCAGCCAATCTCACACCGCACTGTCATTTGTGTAGCAATACCACTCTCAGCTGCACCCTGCACAGAGATTTTACAGCTCGTTGGACCACAATCTGTGCCAGCAGCCTGAGAGCGATCGTCAGTGGGTCAATTGATTACACAATTAACCCTTCAAACTACAAACTGCTACAGATGACTTTGGGACTATCAACCCTTCACAATGTTAGCAAGAACAAATGTGAACAATAAACGTCTGTAGCACGCACTGTCACCACAGACAAGTATATTCAGAGGATTATCTTATACAGTAGCACTCTTCTAGAGACTTTAGTTTGCATTAAAAGCCTTAGAGAAAATTTTAACACTTTTCAAAATAGGGTTTTTAATGAAAAGGTCAAATGGTGCAATTAAAATATTTACAGAAAGGGATGTTACAGAGAAAGAGAACAATAAAGTAACAGAAATAGAGTTAAGAAGGCAGAATACTTGCCAGTTGTCCAAGCAAAAACATTGCCTTGGCTCTCAAGTCTGTTAAGATTTTCTTTGGATGATAAACGAGAGCTCTATACTAGATCCGGTCAGTCCCTTTTCTTTGATATCAAAGGGGTGTCGCCCGAGAACAACTGACCAATCATCTGGATTAGATCATGGCTGCTAGGAGGTCACCAAATTTATGACCAAGTCCCAACTACAGTTTCATACTAACATTACCTTCCAATACATGCAGGTGGTATTCTAGCAACTGGCAGATATTATTCAAAATTATATTTCGAACCCAGGGATACCAAACACAGCGTACCTTGTCACCCAGGAGGCAGGAGACTGCTTCTCCCCTTTTTGTATGTGCTAACAGTCAGGTATGACCTTGATTTGTTCAGTATGATATTTCCCATTCAAATATACACCTAATATTAATGTGCCCTGTTCCTGTTGAATTCTATGAATTGTATGTGGAATTGTTACATGTGGAATAGACGTTTTATGGCACGCTCTGCTTTCCTAGAGTCTTAATGACCTTACAGGTCATGTGCGACAGCTTGCCTGAGTTATTGTTTTACGATAGGACAGAGGAAAGTGTTTTCCATGGTTAGTGAAAACAGACACCCTGCCAAGACTAATTACCGTATTTTTTTTTTGCTCCATAAGATGCACTTTTTTCCCCCCAAAAAGGGAAAATGTCAGTGCGTCTTATGGAGCGAATATAAAGCTGCTGTTCTCTGCGGCAGGAACTCACCTGTTCCTCGGTCCAGCGCTGTAGTCTTCCCGCGCCGGCTTCTTCCTGCCTTGCCATCTGTAACAGCCGGGTGCCCACTGCGCATGCACGAGAAGCGCTGCACTTTGTGAATGGTCTAACGTCTTCTGGGACACATGACAGGTCCCAGAAGACGCCGGGCCATTCACAAAGCGCAGCGCTTCTCGCGCATGCGCAGTGTGCACCTGGCTGTCGAAGCCGAGTGCCCACAGTATAAGAAGGGAAAACTCCGCAGAAGTGGGAGCGGGTACCTGTCAAATTCAGGTACCCACTCCCCCTCCCTCCCTAAAGGTCCGCAGTGTCTGGTCATCTGTACTGTCCGCATTCTCTGGTCATCCCCTGTACTGTCTGTAGTCTCTGGTCATCCCCTGTACTGTCTGTAGTCTCTGGTCATCCCCTGTACTGTCCGCAGTCTCTGGTCCATCTCCTGTACTGTGTCCGCAGTCTCTGGTCCATCTACTGTACTGTGTCCGCAGTCTCTGGTCCATCTACTGTACTGTGTCCGCAGTCTCTGGTCCATCTCCTGTACTGTGTCCGCAGTCTCTGGTCCATCTCCTGTACTGTGTCCGCAGTCTCTGGTCCATCTCCTGTACCTGTCCGATCTCCTGTACTGTCTCTGGTCCATCTCCTGTACTGTGTCCGCAGTCTCTGGTCCATCTCCTGTACTGTGTCCGCAGTCTCTGGTCCATCTCCTGTACTGTGTCCGCAGTCTCTGGTCCATCTCCTGTACTGTGTCCGCAGTCTCTGGTCCATCTCCTGTACTGTGTCCGCAGTCATCTCCTATACTGTCTCTGGTCCATCTCCTGTACTGTGTCCGCAGTCTCTGGTCCATCTCCTGTACTGTGTCCGCAGTCTCTGGTCCATCTCCTGTACTGTGTCCGCAGTCTCTGGTCCATCTCCTGTACTGTGTCCGCAGTCTCTGGTCCATCTCCTGTACTGTGTCCGCAGTCTCCTGTACTGGTCCAGTCTCTGGTCCATACTGTGTCCGCAGTCTCTGGTCCATCTCCTGTACTGTGTCCGCAGTCTCTGGTCCATCTCCTGTACTGTGTGTGTCCGCAGTCTCTGGTCCATCTCCTGTACTGTGTGTCCGCAGTCTCTGGTCCATCTCCTGTACTGTGTCCGCAGTCTCTGGTCCATCTCCTGTACTGTGTCCGCAGTCTCTGGTCCATCTCCTGTATCTCCTGTACTGTGTCGGCAGTCTCTGGTCCATCTCCTGTACTGTGTCGGCAGTCTCTGGTCCATCTCCTGTACTGTGTCCGGCAGTCTCTGGTCCATCTCCTGTACTGTGTCCGCAGTCTCTGGTCCATCTCCTGTACTGTGTCCGCAGTCTCTGGTCCATCTCCTGTACTGTGTCCGCAGTCTCTGTCTGGTCCATCTCCTGTACTGTGTCCGCATCTCCTGTCTCTGGTCCATCTCCTGTACTGTGTCCGCAGTCTCTCTGGTCCATCTCCTGTACTGTGTCCGCAGTCTCTGGTCCATCTCCTGTACTGTGTCCGCAGTCTCTGGTCCATCTCCTGTACTGTGTCCGCAGTCTCTGGTCCATCTCCTGTACTGTGTCCGCAGTCTCTGGTCCATCTCCTGTACTGTGTCCGCAGTCTCTGGTCCATCTCCTGTACTGTGTCCGCAGTCTCTGGTCCATCTCCTGTACTGTGTCCGCAGTCTCTGGTCCATCTCCTGTACTGTGTCCGCAGTCTCTGGTCCATCTCCTGTACTGTGTCCGCAGTCTCTGGTCCATCTCCTGTACTGTGTCCGCAGTCCGCAGTCTCTGGTCCATCTCTGGTCCATCTCCTGTACTGTGTCCGCAGTCTCTGGTCCATCTCCTGTACTGTGTCCGCAGTCTCTGGTCCATCTCCTGTACTGTGTCCGCAGTCTCTGGTCCATCTCCTGTACTGTGTCCGCAGTCCATCTCTGTACTGTGTCTCAGTCTCTGTATCTCTGTACTGTGTCCGCAGTCTCTGGTCCATCTCCTGTACTGTGTCCGCAGTCTCTGGTCCATCTCCTGTACTGTGTCCGCAGTCTCTGGTCCATCTCCTGTACTGTGTCCGTCCGCAGTCTCTGGTCCATCTCCTGTACTGTGTCCGCAGTCTCTGGTCCATCTCCTGTACTGTGTCCGCAGTCTCTGGTCCATCTCCTGTACTGTGTCCGCAGTCTCTGGTCCATCTCCTGTACTGTGTCCGCAGTCTCTGGTCCATCTCCTGTACTGTGTCCGCAGTCTCTGGTCCATCTCCTGTACTGTGTCCGCAGTCTCTGGTCCATCTCTCTGGTCCATCTCCTGTACTGTGTCCGCAGTCTCTGGTCCATCTCCTGTACTGTGTCGGTCCGCAGTCTCTGGTCCATCTCCTGTACTGTGTCGGCAGTCTCTGGTCCATCTCCTGTACTGTGTCCGCAGTCTCTGGTCCATCTCCTGTATGTGTGTCCGCAGTCTCTGGTCCATCTCCTGTACTGTGTCCGCAGTCTCTGGTCCATCTCCTGTACTGTGTCCGCAGTCTCGGTCATCTCCTGTACTGTGTCCGCAGTCTCTCTGTCATCTCCTGTACTATGTCTGCAGTCCATTGGTTCAGAATGTTTTTTTTTTTTTGTTGTTTTTCTCCTCTAAAACCTAGGCGCGTCTTATGGTCAGGTGCGTCGTTATGGAGCAAAAAATACGGTAGCTGTTTACAGTCTTGCCAGCTCTGTGTTTTAATTAAGATAGGAAGTGCTTTTGAAGTTTAAGTTACAGCTACAAATTCCAGTTTTCAGGAGGGAGGAGGGGAGGAAGATCATTGATCAAGAAAAACAAAATGGCTGTCACGTACAGGTTCTGTGTCTCTATTGCACACAATCGTTACCCCGATCAATGGAGGAGGGAGGAGACATGGTGGTGTCCGCTTCCCCCTTGGAGAAGGCAGTAGAGGGAGAGCCAGGTTAGTTCTCACTTTGTGGCCTGGAGGGCAAGGTATCCTGTGGTGGGGAAGAGCCCGGTTCTTGTGCTCCCGCAGACTGAGATCCTGCTGGGCTATGTAGTGCCTCAGCATGGATGGTCCGTAAGTTCTGGTGCACCATGGTCTTCTGGCCTGGCACCATCTTGGCTGGGGATGGAGAAGACCATGTATTGCGGGATGGATGGTGGTGTTCATTGGCCGGTGTACAGGATGGCTTCTTTACCGTCCCAATCCACTTCCAGTACATGCTGGTGTCTGCTGCTGGGTGAGCTTTGCAGTCACTTTCTCCGGGCCTCCATGTTATTTTTAGCTGTTATGTGCTGGCGAGGTGCGGAGCTCAGTGACAGCATGGCTTGCCATGCACACCCAGAGATGCATTTTTATTAATTTCTGATACTGCACCACTTGTCAAGGTGTGTTTAAAAAGTTTGGAGAATGGTCCAATATTTCAATGGTAACATGGGCCAGGTTCGCGTGTATGCACATGGCTATCCAGAGACACGTCAAGATGCACCACCTAGCGTGGAGTACACGTGACTGTTAAGGTGAAGCCGTTGCGGGCAGTCGAATGTAGTCCGTGTGAGATGAAATTGCGGAAAATGGCAAAGGAGATGCATGAAATGATGCAAGTGTACAGGCAGAAAATGTGTTCAAGAGTGTCATGAAAGGCGGACGTGGTGGAAATCCAAGAATATGTGACAGCGGTTCTGTGATCATATCCTAAAGAGGCCTTTGCTGAGTTTCCAGAAGCTTTATGAACTTTGCAAAAGTGTGTTGTGCAGGATGGCGATTATTTTGAAGGCCAATAAAGGTCATTTATATCTTCTGTTTTGTTTTCTGATACCATTCACCAAACTTTTTAGACATGCCTTGTATACTGCTGTTATCTTGAGAACATTTTTAAAGATGTAAGTGGGCAGTGAATTGTCTTTGACATGTGTATAGCCTCAGTGGTTTTGCTTGGGCAGGGAGGAGCATAAAGCTACATTCATGTCATGCAAGAAGTGTCCTTATCATATTCCACTGAGACTTTTCTGGCCTGTGTGCTGCCTCTCCTCCTCAGTGTTTGACAAGCAGCAAATTTGTCTTCTAGTCAACAACTGAACCTGTTTTTTGCTTTTTGTATTTTTAAAGGCAATAAAATAACGTGAGCTACTGTGTGCCTTCTTGGGGATATGAGCAGACATATGCTTCGTGTACTTATACTTGGCAGAACATATTTACTGCTGTTACAAGTTGTTAGCCTTTAGTGAAAACAGATAAGCAATCAGAATAGAAAACTTCTGGACTACTCCCAGCACATTTTTCTTTGGGTTTCAAGAATCCAAATGCATTACGCTCATAAGATAATTCACTTTAAAGGGATAGCATTACTTAAAGTAGGTCTAAGTTTTAAAGGGATCACATTTTAGATTGCTAAAGCACAGTATATCCTACACAAACATTAAAGGGACATGTTTGAGAATTTTCCTCGATCAGTGGCTGCTAGCAATTAGTTGCAGCCGATGATCAGTGCATTCTGACAGTGGCAGTTGCCACTTATCAAAATACAGTGTTTTGTTGGGTGGGAGTCCTCTATCCACCTTGCTGGCTAAGAGAAAAAAAATTGTAACTGTATGACCTGCTTAAAGTAATGTGTGTTGACCTATTGCTTCTCAGACAAAGATATTTTACCATGGCCTGGGCAGATTTGTTGGTACCCCTAGAAAAGTTTACAAATGGATCATACTGATATGTCAGATGGTTTTCTATAATTAGTAACACACCTTCAAACCTGTAACCAGTCTATTTAAATGAAGGAAAGTAGTCACTCTGCTTTCTCTGATGCATGATCAGTGTGGTGCACACAATGATACCAAACCGCAAAGGAGAAAGTTTTCTGAGGAGATCAGAAAGAATTAAAGACCAGCATGTTTGCAGATGTGTGTATCCCATTGCCTGCAGGTGTCTTTTTGCTAAATATTCCCACTGCAGTGTGTCCTTCATGGCCACTGGATACTGTCCTGAGCAGCTTTTTTCTGGTGCTGAGGGTTAACAGCAGCAGCTGCACCTCCTTCTGCCCTCTCTGCCATTTACAAAGCTCATATTACTATACTCACAATGCCTCACATTCTGTGATCGGGGGAGGAGCAGTCAAATGACAAGATATCCCCCTGCCCATTCACTTAACAGGATGCATTGTGAGTAGTTAATGACTTTTGTGAATGGCAGAGATGGCAAAAGGGGCTGGCAAGTGGTAAAATCATTACAGTTCAGAAGACAGCTGCTCAGGGCAGTTTTCAGTGATTTATGAAGGTGACACAGTAGGAATGGATTTTAGCAAAAGCAGACACCTGCAGGTAGTGAAATGCACACAATTACACAAGCTGTAAAGGGTAACTTATTTTTTTTTAATAAACAGAATTAACTATGAACCATTGTGCGCTTCCTAGGATCTCGTACATACAGACATAAATAAAAATTTACTTTTGCAGGAGTACAGCATATTTTTTTATGCCTCTAATGGCAGTTCTACATTGGCCTATGTGGCCATGCACATTAGGTGTTTAACTTAGTATTTTAAAAGCAGCATTCAGAGTCTGTGTTCAGAGAGAAGCTTAGGAGAACAATTTATCACATGAGTATTTAAATTTATTGCCAAGAAAAACCTAAATGCATTTGCCACAAATGCATATTATTATTATTATTATACAGGATTTATATTGCATATATACATGACTTTAAAATAAGTTCTGACAGAAAAAATCCAGCATATTTGGAGCAAAAATCCATATGGCCATTTGCATGAGGCCAAAGTCAATTCAAGGACCATTCACACTTAGCCATTCTGGTGTGCTGCACTAACAAACATTGAGTGAAAGGCCAAGTTCACTGCTGAAACATGTTCCACCTCAGGGGCAGACTGACCATTTGGAACCTCGGGCACTGCCCGAGGGCCCGGGGTCAGTAGGGGGCCCCATGAGATACCCCTGGTACCTTTTTCATAGGCTTTTTTGAGTTTGGGCAAGGACACATGATCCCCTATTGCCTGGGGGCCCCATGAGTTGTCAGTCCACCCCTGTTCCACCTATATTTCGGATGGAACATGTAACATGTTCCAGCTCCTCCCTCCTCTCCCCCTGATTTCCCCCTTCCTTTAACAGCGGACGGGGGATCTTCTCCACGCACCAAGTGTCACAATATAAAAACAGTGTGCCCACATGGCCACATCATTCATTCTGTTGATGAATGAACTATATTCATTATGTGGTTATGGTTATCATGTGGTTGATGGTTTGTAGTTCTCAATGAACTGTGAGGGCACTGGTGAATGCTTTCATAGTTCATTGTTTCTCCCTGCAATTCAGTAGCTGCCTGCCCATTCTGAGAGTTTGCAGTAGCCTGGCATTGCTCCCACAATCTGATCTCAGGTGCAATGCTTTACAGGCTCCAGTGTAAATAGATGTAAATTTTTTTTACCTACAAAAATGTATTATTTTTTCATAAAATGTGAACTTATCCTTTAAGGCACCCAAGTTTCAATATTTGACCAGAAAGTGAACGTACAGCATTTTCTCGGACATTGCTGTGCTGCAATGCATGTGCATTAGAACTGCAATGCCTTAGTGTGTTGGGGTGCCATTCAAAATGCCATTGCAAAATGGTAAATGCGTGTAATGTTAACATTGCTGCAACCTACCATATTGCAAAAGTGATACGGTTCTAAAAGAAAAACAAACATTTAGGGATATACAAATGTCTATAGTCATATTCTTTAAATGTAACCTGTATTTGTGGTGTTTTGTAAGTGCCTGATAGAACTGTAAAAATGCTGCAGCTAAATTGCTCACACCTTTACTTCACTTTACACTAGCAGTAAAAGCATGTATCTACATTCAAATATCTAGCCCCTCTGGGCTTGTTTAGTTTATTTACCTAATAGTGTTGGACTTGTCTCACTAGTTGATATCATTGATCAGTCACTGTGTGGCTCACTGGCAGTCATACATAGGAAACTTCTTAAGTAGATGATCTATTGACTTTATTTTTGGCCAGAAGCTATTGCGGCATTTAAATGCATTCAATAGAAAAACAATTCAAATGTATTGTACAGTCTTTATTGAACTGATATAATTTATCTTTGAAAAAAAAAAAAAAAAAAAGAGAAATTGGATTAATTGTTCCCACAGGTTAACCCTTTTAAATTACTTTGACGGAGATCTAAAGTCACATCATACACTTTATAACATCAGCACTGTAATAGCCATATAAATGTTTTTGACAGTCCAGCATAAGCTTACTTGAAAAATCTCCTTTCATGTTGCGAGGTTGGATGTTCTTTCTGATGACCATCTTTCAATAGACTTTCTGGATTTCCTACATATTTTGCAGCTTTACATTCAATTTGTAAAGACTTCATATCCCATGTTATCTTGTTGCCTGCTGTAATGATTGTGTGCAATAGAGACATGAAAGCTGTAGGTGACAGCCATCTTGTTAAGGTCTCAGCCATTTTGTTTTTCATAAGCAATGATCTTCCTCCTCTCCTTCCGCCTTAAAACTGGAATTTGTAGCAATAAGTTTTGGGAACTTCAAAAGAGCCTCTTATCTTAACTAAAACACACATTGAGGCAGCATGGAGACCTGGTTAGAGCTGTAAGAAGCTAATTGGTCTAGGCAGGATGTCTGTTTCCAGGATCCATGTAAAACTCTTTCCTCTGCCCTATCGTAAAACAATAACTCAGTCAAGCTGT